AAGCAAGACTCTTGCAGTCTACCGTCTCTATTAGAACGGATAGGGCATCATCAATTCTAATTGGTTTTTGGAACTATTACAATCATTGACGTTCTTGTCTTAAACAGTTAAGGATTAAGAAGAATTAATGAAGATTTAAGGATTGAGGTGGATGAGCTCTGAATGTTCAATTTATCATTATTTGATGTTTTAGCTGAATTAATAATAGAAAAATTTGTTTTTGATGATGTACAATTTTTTTAGGCCCTACTAGGGATGTAATTGAACGGAATTGCTCGCAAGTAGGTCAAAAACTTGACTCGAACTCGAGTTGACCGAGTTCGAGCGCCTCGATAAGCTAAACGAGTGGAGTTCGAGCATATAGAAACAATGCTCGAAGATTCGTCGAGTCTTATCGAGCTTTTTAAATTTAATTTTTAAATATATTATTATTATAAAATCACCTTTATACCCAAAAGAGTTGTTGAATTTATGAAATATTTCAAATCATATAAAAATTTTTAAAGGGCAATAATATCTTTTTGCTAAAAAATTGTCAATAAAATGAAAATTTCTAACTCAAACTCGACCGAGCTCGATAAGACTTGCATTGACTCGAGCTCATGTGAGTCGAACTCGAGTTCTACGAGCAAGCATCAAGCTCGAGTTCGAGTTCCAATAATACTACTTACTTGAGCTCTTGCAGTCGAGCTCGAGTATCGCTATACTCGAGTTCGACTCGATTCGATTATATCCTTAGGCCCTACAGCTTCTTGATGGAAACTGGACCAACCGGGGTTCGATTATGGTTCAAAGTTGATGGCTATACTAGCCTGTACGTATTGCATGAAATACTTGGGTCATCACATTACGGTATGGGTACAGCTTTTGACTCTACTGGTGGTTTAGGGATTCTGAAGTTGTTAGCTGGCAACTGATTAGTGACCCTCAATTGAAATAGGGTTAATTCCACTTTGTCCCTCCAAACTTTGGATGATTACCCACTTCAATCCCTAAATTTCAAAATGGAACACTTAAGTCCCTAAAACTTATAAATTGAGATACTTAAGTCCCTAAACTTATAAAATAGGACACTTAAATTCCTAAACTTATAAAATGAGACACTTCGACCACCAACGACATTCAGGATTCTGTCAACAAATTTCCTTAATTAGGAGGTATTTATACGTTTAGGGATTTAAGTGTCCCATTTTGAAGTTTAGGGACTGAAGTGAATAATCATCCAAAGTTTGGGGGGACAAAGTGGAATTAACCCATTGAAATATGCCAATATGGGCTTTCATTGGTAATTTTTTATTCAAAAGATAATGAGAGTGAATAGTGAATTATTTACATAAATTTATTTACTTTCATTTTCAACATATTTTTTTAATAATCTTTTTATCTCATATATATCATATTAAAAAAGTGTTATAATATCTTTTTTATAAAAAAAAATTCCAAATCATCTACCATCCAAACACACTATGTTGTGTGATTTTGTTATAAGTTAATAAATCTGAAAATATGTTTCATACAAAATTTTCTAACTCACGAGCCCCCTGAGGAATGAGTGCATGTGCATTTGTTTCTTTGATGAACACTTGATCATGTGACAAGACCTTTGTGTGAAATAAAATTGATGGCAAAAGTTTCACCTGAAGCAACTGGAAAAAGCCCAGATGAAGTTAACGTTGAAGGTGAGAATTAAGAAAAGTTAAAAGAGTAAAAAGAACCCAAAAGGTAGTATGCTAAGATTGATATTCACGGATTCTTGTTTTCACTGAAGGGATCACGGGCAGGCTAGTATTGATCTTTTTGATGTTGAACTTGGAGCGGTTAATCTGTCTAAATCTCCTCAAGACTAATCAATCAGTATTCACATCCAATACCCATCGATTGATTTGTTAAAGTTATCTTATCTAGAATAATGAAATTCGAGAGGTTTGCCACTAAATCTTTTCATCAGTTTCTTTCAATCAAGGATATGACTCATATCCACTTTCACAAATATAGAACTATTCAGAAGAGGTAGCTGTCAACCGACTCTAGGATGAGCTTACGTGCATGCATGATCGATATGCCAATCAAAGAATTGAGTAAAAAGCCCAAAAAAAAAAAATTTTTTTTCAAAGAATTGAGTAACGTACTCTTTTTTTTTTTTTACTTCTTCTTCCTTTTTTTTAAAAAAAAAAAAAAGAAAAAGGGTGAAAAACCGACTTGGACAAGGTCGTATTTGTTTAGTTTGATGATACAGGCTACTTTGTGCTAAGTTAAGTGGTTTCATGTTCATTTTATATCTTTTACCATATTATGGCAAAATTTGGGTGTAATTCTTTGAAATTTCTATAAAGCTTATCACTAGGTGTTGGTGCAGTTTTTCGGTTGGTGTTGATGAGTGTACTGCAAATTGTAAATTTTTTTTTTTGGGTGTTAAAATAAGCTTTCTCTACTTGTTCAGACAACTCTTTGTAAAATGGAAAATAAGTTACTAGCAGTTTGGAGTGAAAAGGGTATGGAAATGAGTGAAAGGTTCAAAGAAATCAAAAGAGAACAAGCTTTTTTTCGAGCACTACTATCAAATGAGGGAGGAGTTAGAGAGTTTTTTTTTTTAAAAAAAAAAAAAAAGAAACAAGATTTTTTTTTTCCTTCGAGCACTACCATCAAACGAGGGATGCTACTTTAAGAGTTATACTAACTAGTTTGATGGCTCAACAGAGAGGAACTTTATCCTTCCAACAACCCTACTAAAAGATTTGGAAATTCGAGTTGATGATTTATACATAAATAAGAGTTCCTTCTACAAAAAAAATAAATAAATACGTATTGAGGCTTAGTAATGATTAGATTTCTAGGCAGAAGATTGAATTGAAAGATAAGATTTACGCGATTATAAATAAAAAATTTTGGATTCAAAACTTTCTACTTTAAAAAAAAAAAAAAAAGAAGAAGAAAGATTGCATTTCAAGAATTCACCAATTAGTCAATTACTAGCCCGTCTAGTATGTATCTCCATAATTGAGGGCCAAATTGTTTAGCAGTAGCAGGGAGGCCGACACACTTAATTTGCATATCACCGTGTGACACATAATTGCCGACTGCTCCAGCCTAATGATGAAATGCTTTGATTGTGAGGGTAGTATCATCTCTGCTGTTAATTTGTTTAGAGATCTCATTAATTTCTATCAATTTCAAATCTATAGGAATGACCCCATAATAGCCTTCTGGACAGTGAATATCTATAAGATCTGAAGAGAGAGCATAAACATATAAACATCGCATAGAAACTAAAGATCTAAAAATCGATTGCACGATTTGTGAGAGGTCTCAATCGTCGTGAAAGCCCTTAAGTTCAGATACATGTTTATTTCCACCGGTGGATGTATGTGCAATCGACATCGCCATTTGCAGCATTGACATCGCCAACTTTCTTGAGGTCCTCCCATTTTTGGTCATTGATCTTGGCCATGCTCCTTAATATTGGAGCCCTTTAACAAAGCATGCATCTATAAACATTTAAATTTTTTTGGATGCTCATCCTTTTGATAATTTTTCTTTTATAGAAAACAAGAGCGATTTTATTAATGAGATTATTGAAAATCGTCCAGCACCATTTATTTGACAAAAGTCGGAAGGGAGTTCCAACTTTCACAGAGACAATACAAAGTTGTCCGATTTTGCAGAGCGGGCTAAATTATGCGCAATCTTATTAGCTTCTCTGAGAATTCAATTTACATCAACAATATCGTGCTCTAAAAAGCTAAACGAACATACTCAATTATCCGAGACAATGTATTCATTACTTCGGATAAGTTTTGACAAATGAGGATGCAACCTTCCAAAATGTAACTTGGAATCATTGACGGCAATGACGTATAGAAAGAAATTGAACGCCCTGTGTTGATTTGATTAATTCCACACGTTTTATACTCACAGGAATAGCCTTATTGACGTTTATCCTTCAACTGCCAAAATAATTGGGAGCAAATTCCAAATTGGAGTTCTTGTAAACAATCTCAAAGATAAGAGCGAGACTTGTGTTTTGTCTTCATGACCCCATTGAATAACAGTCAACTGGTACGGGGCCAGATTCCGCAATTCGGCTAAGCTTTTAATAGCTTAAGCCAATATATATATACATGTATATGTATACATCAAGAAGCTGGCAAAGCAGTTCTTCATAGTTGGTGAGAACAAGAGAGAAGAAAAAGACTATAAGTTATGCATCCTCGAGCTAGAAAATGGATGAATTCAAGCCAAAAAATGGTCCTCGCACATGCATGTTAGCTTCTGCCTTAAATACATAACCAAAAAAAAAAAAAAGAACGTTTATCCATGCAATTTCCAGAAGATCCTAATTGAAACTCGACACAGCATTTTATCTTAGATATATAGCTTCTTTGATGTGGTCCTAATGAACACCCCAAGAAAAAAAAAATCAAGAAAAAGTTTTTTTTTGAAAGACAAAAATTGAGGGGTTGAAGTAGCCGGATGCTGGTTCATTAATTGTTATTAATGTTCATGTTAAATCATGCATTGAAAGACATCCCCAAGATTATAAAATACAACCAATTACTTTCTCTTAAAGATTTTACATCTCATTTTATATTCTCTTGAATCTTACACGCTCCCCTAAATTTTTCAGATAAATGTAAGTTTGCCTATGAAAATCATGATAGGAGAAGAAAAAAATTACGAAGAAAATCAAACATAATAACGTTCAAAACTAGTCAACTGCAATATGGAAAAGAATATAAAAAAGGTAAAAAGAAAAATTCCCAAGTGCCCTTCTTAAGAATTTGGCAATACGAAATGAACAAGGGCTGGGCTTTTAAGCTTATATCGCAGAGCTGGGCTTCTAAGACCGTTCTTATAGATTGGCTATTGACCGGAGCAAGTAACAGGCCTCTCTCTTCGATGTATTATTAACAAGCCCAAGAGACCCCCTTTTTTTTTTCCGTCCTTCGTACTTGAGCATTGTTATTTCTGTTTTTCCATAATTTAAAAATATGTTTTTGTACAATACTTAATATTGAAAATTAGCATTTCAGTTTGGTTCAACCATTTTTTTTTTTTTTTGGCCAGCCAGGCTCTGTTTGGACCTTGGAATACTCAAATTCACGAATTCGCATGCAAGTGAAACACGCTTTGATGTTTTATTTTCTGAAAAATTTAGTCAAACCGCTCTCTTTTCCGTATCTCCGGCCTCCTCTGCAGTTTGCTTCTCTGATGATCTGATCAAGAAAAGGTACTTTTTCTGTTTTTCATTCTACTGTTACAGTTTCCCTCTACTAATTCAAGATATGTCGGTATATCGATAATTTGCCTTCTAAGCTGATGCATGCCAAGCGAATTTATTCGTGCAAAATAATCTCACGTCCACTTATCTTTTGGTTCGGGATGTTTTGAATTTCATCTGGGATTCGGATATTTGTTATTATTAAGAAGACTTTCAGTTTACCTCTGCCTATCCAGTTGACTAAAATTAAGAAATAATTATAATAAAATCACGTTTTTTGGTAGTGACATGCATCAGCTTATTGAGTAATGGCTCTTGCAGCATTTCTTACTAATGCAGTTTTTTGGAACTTTTCTTGAAGTGAAAACTTCGTACTACTCAGGCGTAAAAATGATGAGTAGTTCCCCAATATAGCCAAAGTAGACTTGTGCTTTTCCTTTTTTGGTTTGATTTAGCGCCTGAGTTTTATTTTCCTCTAGTTCTTTATTATTGTAAACTGGTTATTTTGTATTGGTTGTACCAAGGATGAATTACAAAGTTATAATTTAGTGATTTACAAGTGAGAATATGTAAATATGGACCAAAGGCTAGTGGGATTTGAGTTCAAGCCATATGAATATCTTCGGAATGAGATTCCTACAAATTTCCTTCTGGATTAGTCGCTTAGATATCGTGGTTAGGGGATAGTCCTGGTTATTAAAGATCTCATCTAAAACTTACTGTAGCTTTCCAAACCAAAGCTAGGAGAAAATATTTCTTACTTGGCTAACTCAGATAAGTCAAATTTTTGTTTGGTCTATGCAGTGTGGCATCTTGGAAGTTATTACAATTTAGTTTGAACTGTGTTTTTGTGTGTGTGACAATCAACATGTATAGGGTAATGATATGAGATTTGTCAGTCCTCTGTTGAGGGGAACCATATTCTACTAGTACTAATTGAACGCTAATCCAATTGAAAAAAAAAAAAAAAACCATCAAACGCAAAATCCAATTCAAAATCCTCATAATTGTTACTAATTGTGGAAGGAATTCCGGGACAAATCTCACCAAATGAAGTCAGTGGGATTCCAACACCATTGAAACTGAAGCATCTGATGAGAAGAACACATTTGTGATATCTAAATCTGATCAAACCAAATCCAACCTTCTAGTTGAGCTCAAACTGCCACTGCACAAAATGCTTTTTCATTTCCCAATATTTCTTTCCTTTTGCCTCTATGTAATCAGCCATCGTCAACCGAAGACTTTGATAGTGAATGTATCAGTTTGGTTCTATTAGTCGACTTTTGATGTCAGTACACGAACAACCGTTTGGCCCAGGATTCAGGAGTTCACACAAATTTCAGCCATAGCACCATCCAAGCACAATGGGCACGAAACCAACATAAGACTCTCCATGTATCCTCCGTACATATAAACAAAATCGCAGTGGCAATAGTGGAAACATGTAAATCTAGTAATGGCTCCAAAAATATGTACTTGTAATGTTTGTGTAGAGATTAAGGAGTAACAGTAGTGTCACTATTTCATTTCAAATTTCTGACTACATAATCTTCAATCACTGACTGATCCTTAGAGAAGTTATCTTTTGATGCTCAGTAAGAAGAAACCCAGGTTATTTGATGCCTAGATGATGGTTTCTTTTCCAAGGAATAAACCGAAATCAAAATGCCACTGAATGTTGAAGCTAATACACCGTTGAACAATTATGTTGAGTAAGATGGAATATAAGTTGTCTGACTTTTGGTCATTCATTCATTCATCTACAGCTTATGGATGTGATTGAATTTCATAGTGTTACAGAACTTCATGCAAGTATGAGAAACATGACTTCCTTTCAGTTTTCACTGGTCTAGCTGCATGTGTATTCCGCTTGGCAGTTATTATGCAGAGCATAAGTCTGCCAAATTACAAAGTAGGACAATTTCCTGTAGTCTTTGTTTAGTTATTGAGGTCAGAGACTCATCTCCGGCATAGTCCCAATAATTGGATGACAGATATATGCCGAAACGCTGTCTCATCATACTTTACTGCTATTCTTTTGGATGTCTTCAGGTATTGTACCTTATCCAATTTCCTTGGTCCATAAAGATAAGTGAATTTGCTCAGTTGTTTCAAATGATTGTATGTGGAGTTGTTTAGTTTTTAGTTTTAATTCACTTTTCAGCATGTGGGAATTGAATGGAAATAGTTTCTTGGTTTGGTCTTTATTGTATCTTCTTGATAGTTGATACTCAATAAGCTAAAACCTGAGACTTATTTGAGAGCTATATAACTATGACATACTGTAAGCATCAAATAGTTGTCAACTTCCTAGAGGATTTTGAGGTGATACACACACACACACACACACACATATATATATATATATATATCTTTCTCTAATGTAAAATGCAATCTTCACCACAATAGACATGTTTTACCAGTGAAATATTATCCCAGTAATCTGTCATAGGCCACAATCACCCTTTACTTGAAGCTTATTCTGGTGCATGGATATTTTTACCTGAACCAATTCATAACGTATATTCTGCATTCATAATATTTTCTCAATGAAATCATTTAGGCGAGCTTGATCATATTTGCCATGCATGTGCTATATGCAGTTCATATTATGTGTTTTCTTCAAGAGATCAAGAACTTGGTCGACAAGTACGAGGGGTCCTGCATCATGGGCTACTCAGATATTATTCTCAAATTTTTTCATCTATACAACAACCCCCTATTCAATTACTATATGAGTTGAGCTTTTGGATAGTGATTTTGGTCTCTTGTTTAACTGATTTGTAAGTCTATTGGGGTTGTGTTCTCTGTCTTTTGAGTATTTGCAGAGACGCACTGAATTGGTGAATGTTGTTGAGAATCTTGAGGACGCTTTCCAATTTTTATATTTTCTGGTCCAATGTTGGTTAGTTTAAGAGTTTAATACAAAACATTCTTCTTCTACTATTTAGTCATTTTTTTCCAATAGGTTTTAGTGCTTGAAACCTTTGCAAGTCTTTCATTCCTCAAGTTTTTTGTAGATCTTTGTCCTTGATTGCAGCAACAGCATATTGCTTGTCTTTGCAACTCCAGACAGATAGAACCTTTAGAGGATGAACCCTGAGATGGTCATACATAACGGTGGATGCCACTGCAAAAGTGTACGATGGCGAGTCCAAGCACCAGCCAGCATTGTTGTCTGGCAGTGCAACTGCTCTGATTGCTCCATGAGAGGGAATACTCACTTTATCGTCCCTTGTATAAGATTTGAGCTTCTTGGAGATTCCAAACAGTTTCTCACAACCTACACCTTTGGCACTCACACTGCTAAACACACTTTTTGCAAGATTTGTGGCATAACCTCCTTCTATGTGCCTCGATCTAATCCAGATGGTATAGCAGTTACATTTCGTTGTGTGGACCCTGGAACGCTAAACCATGTTGAGATCAAGCAAATTGATGGTAGGAATTGGGAGGATTCCATTAGTCAAACTGGCATTGCCGCTTGTTCCAAAGTTTTGGATAAGGAGTCGAAGTGAGTGCCTTCTAGACCATCCAGTTTGATGATTTGTGAAACTTCCGCTGAAGATCAAACATTGACTTATGCAAAGTTATCAGTATTGCATTGCGTTTTATGTTATTTGCTAATTGCCAATGGAAAAGAAGAAAAAGAAGAGTTGCCATTTATAGGCTTTTTGGTTGAATTTTCAATCAAATTTTTTACGTTTTTGTTCGTCTTCGTTTTGTAAAGGAGAATGAGGTTTCTACTTTCTAGACATTCTCTGTAAATGTATATATCATTTTCCCTTTTTTCCTCATGTTTTTATGAGACACGAAGAAAGAGTATAAAATTGCATCAGTTGGATATGATGATCCTAAGTATATTGCAAGCTTAAAGCCTTAAAAAATTGCATAGTTAGGATATGAAGTTAGACATGGTTAAAGTATGAAAGAAAAGCTACATGATCTAAGTATGCTACAAGCTTAAAGCCTTAAGCCAAATAAAAAAAAAAAAAATTTTTGTGGCTACTTAATTTGCACCAATTTAGTATTTGATCATCACAATGCATTTCCTATATGTTCTCATTTCCTAAAGTTTCTGGGCAAATACCTCTTGCTTAAATTTTCCTTTCTTTGTTTTTTTTTTCTATGGTACTTGACCTTTTCCTCTTATGTTTCTCTGCAATTTCGATGATTATCTTTTCTTTTATTTGCTAATTTCTTTATATTAGGAGTTGGGGACTTGGGATCATGCATTCCTTTCATGCAAATTTCTTGCTTATGATTAAACTTTTTGCTGGCAACTCACAACTTATTTTTCAAAAGTCTTCTAATCTTTTGGCATTTATTTAATTCTTCTCATTAAAGAATAAATCTTGCATTTCTTTCATTTTGTCTATTGGGTTTAGTTGGTGACTTGGCCAAACCTCAAGATCCAATTAAATGCCCGGGATATTTAAGGGGTCTGACTCTGAGGAGCCCTACTTTCACCTTTTGACTGATGCCAAGACCAAACTAAGTGCAAAACATCCCTTTGTAAAACTCTCAGGAACAAGACGTTCCCGTTTGGTGATGGAATTGGTATTTGATCAAATGTTTTGGTAAATTAAAGCTGCAATAACAAGTAGAGGCCCTAATTTCAAAGATCGGACAAAAACATGACAAAAGGTCCTAAGATCGATCCATCCATCCATCGTCAAATTTCATGCAAAACTACTCTTAAGTCCCTGCTTAAATCATAAAGAGGACATGTTTAACTTGAAAAGTCAGCAAAATACATAAAATAACTTAAAAGACACTTCTATTTCCTGATGAGCTTGCTCAAATACTAATAATAAAGGAGGATATATGGTACTCAGCCATCTAGTCGAGGACAGAAGTATTTTAGAAAAGGGAAACGCTTTACAGCTTTACCCGCAGGCAAGAAAAATGCTTGGTGCAATTCCACATCGTAATTGCATTCTGCAATATTTTCTGGTATTAAAGCCAAGGCTCTACAAACAGGACAAGTATTCTGCTTCAGAAGCCACGTTTTCAAGCAATCTGCATGAAACTCGTGCGGGCAATAATAGAGAATTGCAACCTTGTCTTGGTTCTCAAATGCAGCCTGCCAGATTTAACGGGGCCAAATTAGATGATACGCTATTAAAAGCAGCAGATTTTAAAGGTTGCAGAATAAATTATTACGCACCATGCAGATACTGCAAATTTGTTCGCTATAGTCCAAGCTGCAAATTTATCTTTTGTTAATTTTTTTGTGCATTAACTTTTCCAGAATCAAATTAAGAAAAAATAAGACTTCAGGGGGTGAGAACGTAGTACCAGGGAACATCCCAAGTAGCGGAAGACGAGCTTGGGGATACCGCTTTCGCGTCCCTCTCAAACTCTCCAATCTGTTTTGGTCTATGACACAGTGATCATATGCGTCTGCTTTATATTTTTATTCTTATTCTATTTTCCCTAGGAAAAGGAGGGACGACGTCACAACAGGGTTAATTTTCAAAAGGGATAATTTCAGAAACCTACCCTCCCCTGAGGTTTCTGACAATTTTGCTGCTTTCCCTCCAGGTTTTGAAAATTTTCTTAACCTCCTCTGGGATTTATTATCTTGTAACATTTAGTTCTAACTAACAATTAAAAAGTGATATTAGAAAAGAGAGATAATATAATTTCACCATTGCCCCTCATTTACTAAATTATTTAATTAATTTAATACCAACCCAAAAATTTAGAAAACTCTAGAATTTGCTGTTTATTATTAGGAATTAAATCACATAGGGTATTAAAAATAGTATATCATTCTATATATTTCATTTAATATAAAATCCAGAATGCTTTTTTCAGTTACAAAACTATTGTTAAACAAGAAATCTGTAACCAAAATATTATAAATAGCGAATTTTAATACCATAAAAATCTCAGCTTTGTGATGTTGAAGAATCATGCAGCTATCCATATAACTGGCACTACTGCATTTGATCATGTAATAAGCAAAACCTTAACAAGATAATGCACTTGATCATGTAATAACCAAAACCTTAGCAAGATTATATGCCAACATGTTACAGGGAATATTATAATCTAGTCAAATGTAATTGTTATATTTATTCAAATTGAAAATTTACATGTTTCACTATTGAATAAAAAAAATCTCAAAACAAATTCACTGATACTAAATAGATTATGGGTCAATCCAATGGGTATGTAATGGAACTTGTTAAGATATGTACTTCATATGTTAACTTTTCCTAACAATAAAATTAATTTAAAAAGGTGTATAAATGCAATAAATGATAATAATTGTTAGTATGTATATATACATAATAAGTTAGGTGTGTTAATGAGTACTTATTGGATACTCGTTCTATAAATAGACTGTAAAATTAGAAAAATTTTGAAATCCTTATACTATATAAGAATGAGTTTAAGGCAAAGATAGTTTTTAAATTTCAACGGCAAGGGTGAGGCTATTTTGGGAATGTGAGAGTGTTTGAAGTATAATTGGAGCATTAAGTACAAGTTATTCCAGCTTTAATTTTGCTATAATTACTTATATAACCTTTCAGACATTTAAGGCTAGGGGCAGGTTTGGTAAGTGATAATGTTTGGTGCCAAGTTGAGTATCAGGTATAACTGAATTAAGCTTGTGTTTTGATAAAATTACATAAAAGGCCTTTTAATTATTTATTATACTAACATCCAAACCTTCCAATTTCCTGAAGCCTTTCTCATCTGTTAAGGAATTAATTGGATGTTTACATAATTGGATTTTAATTACAATTAATTGACCTAATTATTACCTGAGCAACCATTATCATATTTATGCCCCATGTTCAGCTGATTGCCCTAAACAACCATCACCATAGTTATGCCTCCATGTTCAGCCGATAGCCTTTCTTCTTTTTCCATTTCACCTCTTTGGTTTTATTATGGCTATTAAATATTTGGTGTAAGGCGTAGCTTTTTCTTTAAATTGAGGTGAGCTCTTTGGGTTTGAGGTGGTTTTTTTTTTTTTTTTTGATGATTGGTTTATTCAAGAACTCCATATAGTTTGCTTTTTAATACTTCTAATTTCAAAAACTAACTAATTGTACTATTTTCTGGTTCTTGTATTTGTGGAATAGGTTGAAGTTGGTATCAAAACCTGGCTTTGTTGCATATATCTTAAATAAGGTTAGCAATTTTATCACCTTGCTTATAATTCATTGAATGAAGTTGTGTAGAACTAATTTTTAAAGTAGCGGAACTTAGTTGTTCTTATAAATTTATTAGTTATAAGTTATAGATGTTAAGTCAAAGTTTAATTAGAACAGGGTATAACATGAGGGCATTCCAAAAGCAAGTTGGAGGACGACCTTGAGGAAGTCCCTTCAGTCTTGAAGAAGATTGATTTGCCTTTTGGAAGCATTGAAGCTCGTGCCACACTGGATCCAACACATGCTTAGTTTCATATCCCATCTTCACCTCCTCGGCCAAGTGGCTAACATCAAATATTGCATTCATTAGACTTTCTGGTGTGTCGTGATTTACCACCCACACGCACCGTCACATACTATATATCACTCAAACTAAATCATGTAAAAGCATGATGTTTTTTGACAGTTCTAGAAAGAAAGGAGTCTGAATTTCTAGAATTCCCGGTGTCTTGCTGCTACTAAGTAGCTAGGAATCCAAATTCCCAAGTGAAAAAGAAAAAAAAGAAAAGGGAATGATCCGGTAGTTACCATGAAGAAGCCTCAGTCTTGACATCTTCTTCCAAAGTCTCAGATAGCTTGAAGATGCTAATCAGTATTGTTGAAAGTAAGATATGAAAAAATAATGTTAGGGATTGAAACTTGAGGTTCTGAGGCAACAGGCTAATGGGTGTGGGTGTTGCAGTAAGCATAGCAAGAAGGGATGGGATCAAGACCTGGTGATTCTGCCAGTAGTTTAATACTTGACAAAATTTTTGATGGTTGAACAGAACTATTATGGCATTTTATATTATGGATAATGTATGGTTCAAGTAGTTATTTTTATTTAGTTTTTCATGTAATATGATTTGGAATTCAGCTTGTGTTTATTTTAATTGGAAATTTTATGACTGTAAAATTTATTAACTTAGTATTTTGTCCTTCATTGAAACTAAAAAAGAAAATTAATCATGTTACATGGTACTAAGATGTAATTTGCACTCTATTTGCTTTCCATGTTATGATCTCGTTCTTGTATTCTGTTGTTTATATAATTCCAAATACAAAAAATTTACTTTTTTACTTTGACAACTAGTTTTGCGATATTATTTAACATGCTATCTAAAAGAATTTGTAGTGGAACTTGATGAGTTTAAATGCTTCAGCTACAACACTATTTTGATTGCATTCGATTAATTCATTTACTCATAATTGTGTACTGTACATTGATAAATAATGTTTCTTGATTTGATTGAAACAACTATTATTCATAGTTCAAATGAGTCAATTAAGTAGAGTTGCTATATTGGATACTTATACAAGTAAACATTGGAAAATATTAAGCAGTTTCTACCATAACTTGCAATTCGAATTCATATGAGCAATTTCTTCTGATTTTAGTAACCATTTCCTACAATTTCAAATTTAGAAAATATTATTTGCACCAATTTTTTATAATCAAGGTAATTTCAAATCAGATCTTTAACAATTATGCAGATTTGAACTTATTTATGAGATTATGAAGAAATTTTCCAAGCTAAAAACATCAAATCTGAATCGTTTCTACAGAACTTTGAAGAGACCACTTAAGTTTCTTATCTATCTATCATTTTTGGCATTATTATTTCTATAAGAAACATGTAACTAAGTCGTATTATGCCCACAAAATTATATAAATAGTTAGTCTAAAATAAA